CCATCTCTGTTCTCACAAATTTTTGACAGATTCAAGTCAAAGAAAACAGAATTCAACGTTTAATATTCCAAATTGATCTCATATAAAAAAAACACTAGCTAGTGAACAAAATAAAAAATAAAATAAACTTACGTTTTTATAGTAGTTATAAGGCTTATAAAGTATTTGGACATTATCCCGGATTTCAATTAACGAGGCTAAAACATAGGCTGTTAATCCCATTGTACTTTCCTGTAAAATAAAACACAATCTTCTTGTACTATGCTTGTATCATGAAAATACAGTGGCTTTTGAACCAATCATAAGGTGGAAGAGCCCAGTGGGGCCACGAAATTGCCAAAAGGGGCCAAAAGTCTCAATGCTATGAGATTTGAAATTGAAAGGGGGGAGGGAAAGGGGCAAAGTCATTGAGACAGAGGTGGTTAGAGAGGCAGGTATACTAATCATTCGACCCTTAAAATGATTTTCTAAAAAAAAAAACATTAAGTGTATCGGGGACACTGATGGCATCGATTTTCACCATCTTAATTTTTAATCAGACGCCTGTAGTTCCCGCAATCCCTGATACTAAGTGTTTGATGACGTCACTAATCGTGAAAGGCCTTAAGTGATATCAGCTTATATTGCGATTACTGAAATCAGTTGAAGTTTTTAAGTATTTTGATGTTTTATAGTGCTAGTGATAATATAAGAAGATAACTTACCTGTAAATGTCTATCTATAATAGTGCCCTGTTCTGTAAAGGAACCATCAAGATTCTGTCTGTCCAGCACCCAGCTTATAGAACTAGCTGTTTTGTCATCATCTATATAAATATATTCACTAGCTTGCTGGAACGATCGGATTACGAACGATGTCAACCTGCAATACATACTATCACTATTAGTCATATAAACTAAACACAGGCAAAGGAAAACAGTAGGTAGTTGGTTGGATTATCGTCTGTTAGGACAGTGCAATAGCTCAGTCGATAGTGAGTAGGAGTGACGCTTGCTAGAGTTGGATTGTCATCTGCTAGGCGATTAGATGAATCCTCACAGGAAAACAATTCTTTCAACCCCTATCACTAATTTTTAGGCATGTGGACTCTTGTCAGGGGCAATAACTCAGGAGTACTGACCAAATACTACCGGCGGGATCGGATTCACCAAACGGACCATAGGCCCAATCGTATCTCTGGTACGTTAACTGTTTCTGGTAACCTGAAAAAGTGCGAAATGAAACAGATGGAGTTTAACGTCCTACTTTTCTCTTCTATTATACAAGTAAATTGATATTGGCCGTAATAAACAGGTTGAATACTTACTGAGTTCTAGATATAGACCGTATTAAACAGGTTGAATACTTACTGAGTTATAGATATAGACCGTATTAAACAGGTTAAATGCTTACTGAGTTATAGATTTAGACCGTAATTAACAGGTTGAATACTTACTGAGTTATAGATATAGACCGTATTATACAGGTTGAATACTTACTGAGTTATAGATATAGACCGTATTATACAGGTTGAATACTTACCAAGTTCTAATTATGGACCGTATTATACAGGTTGAATACTTACCAAGTTCTAGATATTGTTTAATACGGCGAACCAGATTATCCTCTGCCTGGTTAGTGGTATATAGATAATCAGCTATATAGATATTGGGTACAAACTTCATCATATTCTGTTCACCACAACCAGTAGGTAGCTGGATTAAATTACGTAGATTATCGACTGTAAGACCTAGTATATCTCCTACAATATAATTACAATGATATGATATCATCATTATATACCTATAACGCACAGTCACTCAAAAGCGCATATATGACGTAAAACTCCATTCATTTCATTTCCAAAAGCGCCTACAATATATTTACAGTGCTGTCTGGATGGACGTATTATAATGGTTCAACTTTGTAAAGATACCAAAAATCATGCCAAATTGGGTTTTTGTCATGGTGATTATTCTCATAAACCAGCGATCTAATAATGGATCGGAATCGACTCCCATCAATACTGACATTTTGTGTCGAGTTTTAACCGTGACGATTATAGAAATCAAATCGTTAATTGGGTCCAAGAATTGGGTAAAGCTATTGACAGGGCTGTTGTGGATGGGCAACGCCGTAGAGCGTGCACAGACTGTAGCACATCTCGGTTTATTGTCCAACCCTAACACTGATGCCTGTACCAGTGCTTCCGTGGGTGGGCTCGGTCTCGACTTTCACCCCTTATACCTAACAACACAACGATTCATCCATATCAACTCAATGTACAGTATAGAATAAAGGAATATCCATACCAGTGGCCGAGAGTTTAATTTTCATGGTATCTGGTACGATGTCAGTTGGTGGATTGAAGTCAATGGATTTCTCAAAATCATTTTTTAAACTCATCTTTACAATCAAATTAGTATTTTTCTCTCTTCGAATTCCCTCCGGCTACAAACAAACAAACACAATATGCTTTCTTCAATCTGATCAAAATGCAATTATGGATGCATCAGTTTGGGTCTTTAGGTGACTCTACCTGCAAGCCGTGATCTGACGAAATTGTTATGCATCTCTTGTTCTGAGGCATTTGATGTTCAACCAATCAAATGTCCTGTTCAGTAATTGATGTTTCTACTATACGTGAAAAAGTTTTGAATATTGATTGGTTTTCAAGGACTTAACCAAATTTAAGAGTGTTTTGATTGGTCAACATAATTCATAACAACTTTTGATAAGATTAGATCCAAATTCCACAGGACACTTTCTCGGACTAACGTTTGTATAATAATAACAGACTTACTCGGACTAACAATTGTCGTCTGACAGCATCAGCGGCTAAGAAAGATCTGGCTGTTACCTCAATATCAATTCTACCCCTAATTCTAGGTCGGATAGGGAAATAGATTGGGGTTGGTGAACCGGAAGGCACCTGAAACGATTCAAAAACTAAAATCACGACCTCTTAAATTGGAGAGGTCACGCCAAAAATGGAGGTATCTACCACGTGCCATCTTCACGCTATCAAGCTATTGACTATAGCCATAATGTAAATAAACAAAGAGAGTATGAATAATTGTAAGGATCTCCTTCCGGTGTCTCTAATCCTCCGACAGCCTCCGACTATTACATCTTGATAACAACATTCCAACTCAATTCGCGAATATCAGGTCTCAAAATAATCTGTCAGAGTGGTCGACACCGATCTTCTGACAAGTTTTAACTATCTTACCGTGACTGTAACAGATTTGTCTTCAGAAGAATCCTGCTCGTCTCCATTCGATAGAATATCTACACTATAAAAATCATTGGAGTTAGTTAGGCTGACAGTTACCTGAAATAAATGTAGTACAACTTAGTTTTACTATTTCACCAGTCAAACAGTTTTCTTACATTCTCGGTGGTTTTAAAAACAACAAGGCATTCAACTTTGGGTCGGGGTGGGCAAGTCAATTACGTAATCTTTTCTACATCGTCCCAGCTGTAAACAGATAATCCGGGAAAGATCCATACCAAGACGCTTAGCTAAGGTCAGCTCATAGACAGCATATTCCTGAATCTAAGTTATTATTCTTGCTATAAATTGTTTTCTTTCTCGACAAATATTTAAATATATAAAAATATCTCTTTAAACAATGTTTTTCTGTTCATAGTAAAACGAAAGCCTGAAGTTGGTCCCTGTATGGTGGCCCAGGGCTGCCATCCTGAAATATTGCATATTTATTATCTTTAAAAAAAATATTGGAAGTAAATTTTCAAAAAATTTTAAATCGATTAAAATAAAAACAAAAGAAAAGGACAAATAAAATGAATATGCAATACTTAAGGATGGCAGCCCTGGGCCACCATACCCGTGACAATCTGTAAGAGTCTACTTACTGGGACAGCCTGGTCTAGGTAATTAAAAACAATAGCTTGGATAGCTACGACTTCACCAAACTTCACTGATGATGGTAGATTTAAACTGACAAAGAATGGTTTCTCGACTAACAGCTGAAATAAACCAAGATGTAAATTAGGCTGGGCTGATTATTACAGTGTTTTACGTTCTGCTTTTCTGACCCTGATAAAAGATATAACAGGTGCTCGAGGCTCAAAACGGGAGACATTTGAGGATTTAGTTGTCAACCAAATGGATTCATCTTAGCCAATTAATATCCAGTGACACCACTAACAGACTTGAACTCTATGCCAACCAAAGATTACAAGCACACACACAGACAATCGAGAAAATTGAAACACTGAACTTATAAAAACTCGCCAGATCAACGCCCAGGCAATGCATTGCGTCGTCCCATCCCCCACAAGTCACAATCCCTGAGCAAAAATGCAAAATACTGACCGAGGCAGTCTCCGCAGCTACACCGAGTCCTAGATTATTATGAACACCGAAAGCACTGGCCACCCACGAGGTAATGGTATCGGGAGCCTTGGCATTGAATGTAGCCGTTCCATCAGCTCTGAAATATCAAGTAATATTTTGGATTTCGGGTTTCGTTTTGTGGTTCGGATCATTAGTACTTGGTTATTATGCTATATAACAGAAAACAGAAGGGAATATATTATGGTGTAACACACTTCTTTAATAACAAAATACATAACGTACATACATTATCACTTGATAACGTTACCTGTATGTATAATGAAACGTTGTGTTGATAACGTTACCTGTATGTGTAATGAAACGTTGTGTTGATAACGTTACCTGTATGTGTAATGAAACGTTGTGTTGATAACGTTACCTGTATGTGTAATGAAATGTTGTGTTTGAATAATAAATAGAAGTCTATATCTATAAAACTGTTTTTTCTTAAAAGTACATAACGTTTCAACACAATTTATAACATAATATATTCCCTTGTGTTTTCTGTTTTTGTGCTCTCAGCTTCTAAATGCCGTTGCTTGAATAATTCTACAGGTTTTCATTGTAGAGACTACCGCGAATTCGCTTATGTGAATAATTTTCCATTTCCGGAGTCCCACAAACTTAAAACGCCATGAAATTGAAGTATCTTACTGTACAGATTTGTGAGATAGCAAAGTCCAAAGTAAAGTAATATGACAACCCCTTTGGATATTGTTATCCCAAAATTCGTCGTTGTTATCAAGAAACGGATCTTCAGTGATACGCTTTGATTGGTTAGAAATAACGTGATTAGAACGAGACTGTAATAGAAAACTTGTTCGATTACAATATAGACGAAAATATCAAAAAAAATAATCAACGAAATTGACATCCAATTTTTCCAATCAGATTGCATCGATACTAATGTTTATTTGAGATAACATATTTCTACCATGTTACAGGGGAGGAGGTAAAACTAGTATTTGGGTCTTCATTCATAATAATGTTGTTTTTCTATTTATAATCTTGATTATCCATTAAAATAACTTACCCGACAGTTTTATTCTCCCAATACCAAGTTTCAGGGAAGACGCTCCTTACTCGGTCTGGTTCTGCCAACCCAGCGATTGGAAGAGGCGCGCTAGAGTAACCTGTAATAATAAGGAATCTATTTGATTAAATATTGGTTTAAAAAAAAACAGGTCTGAAAAGGATTTTGAGTTAAATAGCCCCGATACCAGATGAATATCATTAGCTATGTGGACTCGCAGAAAGACATGCTGAGTTGATGAACAACGACAGTCAGTTTGGTATTATCTTGTGCTTCGTTAAAGGGACAGGTGTGCTATTTTGGGGGGTTGATTTAAGTTTTGAAAAAACGCAAATAGTCTTCAGAAGTTCTAGAAATGTACAAAAATCGCAAAATTCCTTCAAAAATATCTCAAACTAGGAATTTCTTTACCTATTTCTATATAAGGCAGTGTCTTAACTTTTTAACTTTCAAACGCAGATAATTCTGGACACACATGGATTTGACGGCTCAAATTTGAAAGGTGAGCTGTGATTGGCTTATCGAAAAAAACATCACATTTCTGAGACTAAGGAACGATTGGTCAAAAAATGGCGCATCTGTTTCTTTTAGCATTGACTTTCAAAAAGAAGGAAATAATTTTAAAATTTACCCATTTCAGGCATTGAAATATCAAGGGAGATATCCGATTCAAATCTACCGGGCATCCCTGGAGCACCTCGCGCCTCACCACCGTAATGCACTTGTTGTGGGCGATATTTTCTTCTAGTTTGCCGGAACTCGTCTAAGTCCGATAGAATAGTCACCCCAGCTTCCTGCAATATGAAATAGTTCCATCAAAAGACAATTTCATCTAATTAGAATGCAGATCTAGATATATTAGTTCACATCTCTTTACCACAATGGAATCATTAGGCCACATGTCTTAACCACTCTAGAGTTATTATATTACATACCCTTAACCACCCTACAGCCATAAGATTACATACCCTTACTGCCCTAGAGTCATTAGATTACATACCCTTTTCACCCTAGAGACATAAGATTACACACCCTTACCACCCTAGAGTTATTAGATTTCATACACTTACCACCCTAGAGTCATTAGATTTCATACACTTACCACCCTAGAGACATTAGATTACACACCCTTATCACCCTAAAGACATTAGATTACATACCCTTACCACCCTACAGCCATAAGATTACATACCCTTACCACCCTAGAGACATTAAATTACATACCCTTACCACCCTAGTCATTACATTACATACCCTTACCACCCTACGGCCATAAGATTACATACCCTTACCACCCTACAGTCATTAGATTTCATACCCTTATCACCCTAGAGTCATTAGATTACATACCCTTATCACCCTAGAGTCATTAGATTTCATACCCTAACTACCCTAGACTCATTAGATTACATACCCTTACCAACCTAGAGTCATTAGATTACATACCCTTACCACCTTAGAGTCATTAGATTACATACCCTTACCACCCTACAGCCGTAGGATTACATACCCTTACCACCCTAGAGTCATTAGATTACATACCCTTACCACCCTACAGCCATAAGATTACATACCCTTACCACCCTAGAGTCATTAGATTACATACCCTTACCACCCTAGAGTCATTAGATTACATACCCTTACCACCCTAGAGTCATTAGATTACATACCTTTACCATTCTAAAGTCATTAGATTTCATACACTTACCACCCTAGAGTCATTAGATTACATACCCTTACCACCCTAGAGTCATTAGATTACATACCTTTACCATTCTAAAGTCATTAGATTACATACCCTTACCACCCTAGAGACATTAAATTACATACCCTTACCACCCTACAGTTATTAGATTACATACCCTAACTACACTACAGTCATTAGATTACATACCCTTACTGCCCTAGAGTCATTAGATTACATACCCTTACCACCCTAGAGACATTAGATTACATACCCTTACCACCCTACAGTCATTAGATTTCATACACTTATCACCCTAGAGTCATTAGATTACATACCCTTATCACCCTAGAGTCATTAGATTTCATACACTTATCACCCTAGAGTCATTAGATTTCATACCCTTATCACCCTAGAGACATTAGATTACACACCCTTACCACCCTAGAGACATTAGATTACATACCCTTACCACCCTACAGCCATTAGATTACATACCCTTACCATTCTAAAGTCATTAGATTTCATACACTTACCACCCTAGAGTCATTAGATTACATACCCTTACCACCCTAGAGTCATTAGATTACATACCCTTACCACCCTAGAGACATTAGATCTCATACCCTTACTACCCTAGAGACATTAGATTACATACCCTTATCACCCTAGAGACATTAGATTACATACCCTTATGACCCTAGAGACATTAGATTTCATACACTTACCACCCTAGAGACATTAGATTTCATACCCTTATCACCCTAGAGTCATTAGATTTCATACCCTTATCACCCTAGAGTCATTAGATTTCATACCCTTATGACCCTAGAGTCATTAGATTTCATACCCTTATCACCCCAGAGTCATTAGATCTCATACCCTTACATAACATAAGGGTGATAAGGGCTTATAATACCATGACCCTAGGCTGGTAAGGGCTTGTAATCTCATGACCCTAGGGTGGTAAGGATTTGTGATATTATGACCCTACGATAATAATGTTATGTGATCTAAAGTACCTAGGTGGTAAGGTTATGTTATCCCATGGTTCTAGGAGATAAGGGCTTGTAATCTCATGACCCTAGGGTGGTAAGGGCTTGTAATCACATGACCCTAGGAAGGTAAGGTTAGGTGATCTGATGAACCTAGGTTGGTAAGGTTACGTGATCCCATGACCTAGGGTGGTAAGGGCATGTGATCCCATGACCCTAGGGTGGTAAGGGCTTGTAATCCCATGAAACTAAAGTGGTGAGGGCACGTGATATTGTGTACCTAGGGTGGTAAGGTTATGTAGTCTCATTTCCCTAGGATGGTAAGGTTGTGTGATCTAATGAACCAAGGGTGGTAAAGGCTTGTAATCGCATGGCCCTAGAGTGGTAAGAGCTTGTGATCTCATGATCCAAGGGTGGTCAAGGTTTGTGATATTATGACCCTAGGGTGGTAAGGTTATGTGATCTGATTAACCTAGGTTGGTAAGTTTATGTGATCCCTTGACCCTAGAGTGGTAAGGGTTATATTCTCATGACCCTAGGGTGGTAAGGTTACGTGATTCATTTACCCTAGGGTGAATAGGGCTTGTAATCTTATAACCCTAGGGTGGTGAGGTTATATGATCTAATGAACCTAGAGTGTGAAAGGCTTGCGATCTCACGACCCTAGGGGGGTAAGGGCTTGTAATCTTATGACCCATGGGTGGTAAGGTTATTTGATCTGATGAACCTAGGGTGGCAAGGGCTTATAATCCCATGACCCTGGGGTGGAAGGGCTTGTGATATCAAGACCCAAGGGTGGTAAGGTTATGTGATCTGATGAACCTAGGGTGGCAAGGGCTTATAATCCCATGACCTAGGACCCTAGGTGTTAAGGGCTTGTAATCTCATGACTTAGGTAGTAAGGGCTTGTAATCTCACGACCCCAGTGTGGTAAGGGCTTGTATTCCCATGACCCTAGGGTGGTAAGTGTTTGTGATATGAACCTAGAGTGGTAAAATTATGTGAATTTATGATCCTAGAGTGATAGGTGATCTCATGACCCCAAGGTTGTAAGGGCATGTGGTATTATGACCTAGGGTGGTAAGATTGTGTGATCTCATGACCCCAAGGTTGTAAGGGCATGTGGTATTATGACCTAGGGTGGTAAGATTGTGTGATCTCATGACCCCAAGGTTGTAAGGGCATGTGGTATTATGACCTAGGGTGGTAAGATTGTGTGATCTCATGACCCCAAGGTTGTAAGGGCATGTGGTATTATGACCTAGGGTGGTAAGATTGTGTGATCTCATGACCCCAAGGTTGTAAGGGCATGTGGTATTATGACCTAGGGTGGTAAGATTGTGTGATCTCATGACCCCAAGGTTGTAAGGGCATGTGGTATTATGACCTAGGGTGGTAAGATTGTGTGATCTCATGACCGCAAGGTTGTAAGGTTACGTGGTCTCATGACCCTAGGGTGGTAAGGTTATGCAATCTCATAGCCCTAGAGTGGTAAGGACTTGTGATAACATGACCCTAGAAGGGTTTTAGCTTTACCATCCTAGAGGCATACGATCACACACTATTACCACTCTAGAGTTATTATATCATATACAATAAGAGACCACTCAAGGGAATAATCCCAAACGGTCTATGAATATAGGTGGTCCCTAGTTATTAGAATAAAATACCCTTTCCACCAGATATAGTGGGCTCAATTACTAAATGCATTTCCACTCAAAGCAGAAATATCCCCACTCTCTTATTCTCTACTATACCTGAAAAAATTGTTGAAATCGCGAGGCCGAGGATTGGTAGCCGTATCTCCAATTTGGATATTTAATGGCATTAGGTACATCACTAAACATTTCCATTTCTGCTTTCACCTGATAATTAGAAATCAATATTATAGATGAATGAATGAAATGGAGTTTTGAATTCTCATTTCCAATACCTTAATGTGGTTAATATGTCGAAAAATGCAGGAGACAAAAAGTATAAAACAGTTGAAAACTTGATGATCAAAAAGTAGCGCACAGTGGGAATAAATAGAGATGACAGAGATACTACTTCTGATTAAGAGACTCAAAGGGATTGTGAAAGGTTTTTATGTGTATCGGGGGCACTGATATCATCGATTAGCACCATTCCAATTTTCAATCAGACGTCTGTGGTTCCTGCAATTCCACTAAAACTAAACGTTTTAATACATAACTTTCGCAAAGACCATTGGATATTATCATGCGACAGTAACGTCATATACGATTGACCGGCAAACAAAAAGGGACAAACCGATTAAAATCTCGGAAGATTGATTTCTGATCATCATGTTAGCGAAGCACTGCCTCACTTTTTAACCTCTGAAAATACAGACCTCTTTATGACCGAAAACTAAAGAACCTTTTACCTTATCTTGAGTTAAATCATTACCGGATTTCAGCAGTAAGACACTCTGATCTACCGCCAGGACGAACACCTGGGCTCGAGGTTTACCAGATACAATAAGGTCTATAGAATCATCAGGGGTGGCCTTTTCTCGGTTATACTTCAATGATACCTGGAATAAATTAGAAATGAAGTGTGGAATGATCAATATACAGTCAAACTTGTGAGAACAGTCATCTGTATTCAACATGATCTTTCAATCAAATACAAGGAGAAATTCTCGACGGTGTAAAGTAATCATTTTAGCCTTTGTCACGCATGTGCGTTTGTGGAGATGTTAGCAGTGGTGGCGCCACTGGGGATACAGGGGGGCGCCCCCTTAGAAAGTTGGTTTGCATCCCCAATTGTACCCCCTGCCAACTTTATTTTTAACAAATTCAAATAATATGTTATATGATTTTTATACATTTCTACCCCAAAATAGTTGTCAACACGCACCAAATCGATCTAATTTCCGAAAATTGTGTTGGGAGAACCCTCTTTGACGTTTTATAAGAGACATCCGACAAGACGTCTCCAGTGAGTAGCCACATTTGAATTCAGCCTCGACAGTTGTCCCCCAATTGAGTCAACTTTGTCCCCTATTTGTACCCCCAGTCTTGGGAGGCTGACACAACCACTGGATGTAAGATCGTTTTTCTCACGACCATCACGGTTCCATGGCGTTCGTAACGTGCACCAGACAATTACCAAACCTTGACATTTGTTTTAAAGAAGGACACCTTTCCAATGAGCCATGGACACCTTGCTTGCAAACAGTGGCGGCTCCAGACCCCAGAAACTTGGGGTACAAATAGGGGGGAAACTGATTCAAAGGGGGGATAAAACGTATAAAACGTATAAAAATCATGAATATTAAATTTGTTAAAAACAAAGAGGGGGGTACAATTGGGGTTGCAAATTCCCTCTTTCCCCATTGGCACCACCACTGCTTGTAAATTAATCATACTGACCTCGTGATTAAACAGACGATCAACCGAGAAGGTCAAACCATCGGCGACAATCTCTCCAGTACCTCGTGTATAATAAACCAGAATATGAGATGAGGGGGACATGCTGGTCGTCACGGGGATCTTCACGGTGGAGGACTGGGGATTCAACATATTGTGGCTTTCCACAGAGTGAACTTTTCCTCTAGCTTTAATCTGGAAGGAAAATAGACAAAAACCTCCTCATATCTTACTGCTGTTGGCGCTTGGGATAATATTACAAACAGGTGATTTGACTTGCTAGAAATGTAATTTGCAATGGAGATTGATTCCAAAAACTAATTTCTCAGTTAATCAAATGAACAAAAGGAAATGAAATGAGTCTTTACTGGGAGCGAAAATATTCACAGAATAAAAGTTATCGGACCTGCTAAAAATGCTGTATCAAGGAGGATTCAAGGAATTAAAACCTACCATATAATGAACTCTATCGACTGGTTCTGTTGTTAAAATGCTAAACTCCAATTCCTGATCAACCTGTTGATAGAAACATATTTTATTGAATTGGTCGGTGACAAAATGGATGGTAACCAAGCCGTTGGCAAATCGTGCTTTAACTTCTCGTTCTGCAAATACAGCTGTCGTAAAAAAAAAATAGACATGGACCCCTCCAAATCACATACAGGCTGAAGCTAAAGATTAGTTTTCTTAAAAAAAATATGTTGATTTACCTTGATTTTGTTAGTTGAAGGTTTGATGGAGATCTGTATATAGTTATTACTTTTAGAGTAGGCAGACGATACTGTATACTGTTGCTGGATTTCTTTAAACCACGCCTACAATAGACACATAATAATATGAACCCACGCCTACAATAGACGCATACTAATAATATGAAACCACGCCTACAATTGGCATAAATAATAATATGAAACCACGCCTACAATAGACACATAATATGAAACCACGCCTACAATAGACACATAATAATATGAAACCACGCCTACAATAGACACATAATAATATGAAACCAAGCCTACAATAGACACATAATAATATGAAACCAAGCCTACAATAGACACATATTAATATGAAACCACGCCTACAATAAAAAAATATTAATATGAAACCACGTCTACAATAGACACATAATAATATGAAACCAGGCCTACAATAGACACATAATAATATGAAACCACGCCTACAATAGACACATACTAATATAAAACCACACCTACAATAGACACATATTAATATGAAACCACGCCTACAATAGACACATAATAATATGAAACCAAGCCTACAATAGATACATATTAATATGAAACCACGCCTACAATAGACACATATTAATATGAAACCACACCTACAATAGACACATAATTATATGAAACCACGCCTACAATAGACACATAATAATATGAAACCACGCCTACAATAGAAACATATTAATATGAAACCGCGTCTACAATAGACACATAATAATATGAAACCACGCCTACAATAGACACATAATAATATGAAACCACGCCTACAATGGCACACATAATAATATGAAACCACGCCTACAATAGACACATAATAATATGAAACCACACCTACAATGGACACATAATAATATGAAACCACGCCTACAATAGAAACATATTAATATGAAACTACGTCTACAATAGACACATAATAATATGAAACCACGCCTACAATAGACACATAATAATATGAAACCACGCCTACAATAGACACATATTAATATGGTTCTTTAGTGACTTCGACGTATTGCTGTCTGACAGGACATTTCGAAATAACTCATTAACGGGAGATTCAAAATGCAGTACTTTTGTGGACGCGCAATTGACGCATGAATCCCGTGGTGCGTCTTAGAGGGTTTAACCCAAGAAAATTTTTGAAAAATGGAATCCATATTGCGTATTCTGATACATGTTTTGGGGAAGACGTGTAAAAACCATATATCTAAATTTTCCAGAAATGAAGTTGGGGTACTAACCATTTTCTAAGTGTTAAATCGACCCCCANCCCAAAAGGCGATTATTTCCCTTTTATATGCCACGACTTTTTTCTATAGATAAAATTTTGAAATTTCAAAGATTTTGTGTGCATTAATGTGTGTGAACGTTGTTATCATGGACATTTTCAAGAATA